TAGTTGAGGTCATTTTTTTTCCCCCAGGGTAGGAAAGTTCAAAACTAGACAGCATAAGTTTAAGGGCGAGGGGTGGAAGATTTAAAAGGGACCCAAGGAGCAACTTTTTCATGCAGAAGGTGGTGCGTGTATGGAAATAAACTGCTGGAGGAAGTGGTGGAGGCTGGTACAATTACAACATTTAAAAGGCATTGGGATGGGTACATGAATAGGAAGGGTTTAGATGGATATGGGCCAAATACTGGCAAATGGGACAAGATTAATTTGGGATATCTGGTTGGCATGGACGAGTTGGACCGAGAGGTCTGTTTCTGCACTGTACATCTCTATGACTATGACTCCAAATGGGCCTAACGCAGACAAATGGGACTAGTTTAGTTTGGGAAACGTGGTCAGTGTGGACGAGTTGGACCTCAGGGTCTGTTTCTGTGCTGTATGACTCTATGGCTTCATGTCTATACTGGCATTGAAAAGTGGCATCCAATATCATCCCAAAGTAAACAGTACCAGTGGCAATGTCATTGGACTAAAAACTGAAGTTGCTGGAAAAGCTCAGCAGATCTGGCCGCATCTGTGAAGAAAAAAATCAGTGTTAACGTTTCGGGTCCGATGACCCTTCCTCAGAACTGGAGCCGAAACGTTAACTCTGATTTTTTTCTTCACAGATGCGGCCAGATCTGCTGAACTTTTCCAGAAACTTCTGTTTTTGTTCTTGATTTACAGCATCTGCAGTCCTTTCGGTTTTTATGTCACTGGACTAATAATTCTGAGACCCAGGCTAATTCTCTGGGAAGCTGAGTTCAAGTCTCACCACGGAATTTAAACTTAGTAATTAAATCTGGAATGGTGCAACTAATTCCAAGGCTTTCTTGAATAGCCAGGATGCGTATGAGGGGAAGAATGGTCTCCATTTCTGATAATTCTGCCACACTTAAGCTTTGATCAGGTTTACTTCCCTTTCTGATCAAGGTCCAAACACTGCTGCGAGAGCTGGGTATTTCTCTGGTTTAATGTGGGGCTCCACAAACTTGTTAAAAGCTTGAACGAGGCTAATTGAAAGCACACTACTTGCTGCTGCACAATGAATATCAGAAAACACTGCCTGTAAAAGCCCCAGATGGGAAATAAATTACTGTTGTTTATGGGGGATGTTGTTGTGATGTTTTAATTGCATTCCGATGCCCACCAATTACTGCCCTCGGTATCCGCAACACTGCATTCAGTGCACTTCTTATAATTAATTAAAAACACATCAAAAATCCCCAATAAACTTCCCTTATTTCCATCTGTTCAGTGAACTGGGTGTTTGCTTTGCTAGGAGAAAATCACTTCAAAGAGGCAGGCAAGGCTTCATTTTTAAAGTTTTTTTTAAAATTCATGCACAGGATGTAGGCATTGCTGGCTAGGCTAGCATTTATTGTCCATCCCTAATTGCCCTGAGGGCAGTCGAGAGTCAACTATATTACCGTTGGTCTGGAGTCCCATGTAGGCGAGGACAGCAGTTTCCTTCCCTAAAGGATAGTAGCAATTCAGATGGGCATTTTCTGGTCATCATTAGGCAACTCTTAATTCCAGATTTTTATTGGATTCAAATTCCACTCTCTGTCATGGCAGAATTTGAACCTGGGACCCCAGAACATTACCTGGGTCCCTGGATTAATAGTTTCGCAATTGAAACACGAGGCCATTGCCCCCCTTTTTCTACATGAACAGGCTCCTTTGACCTCTAGACCATTCTACTTCTGCAGGAAAGGTTGGCAGTGTTGGGCCTACAGGTTGGAAGTTCTAGAAGAATTGTGGACTTGAGTAATTATTTGAATAGTGTCTGAACAGACTCATGAGCATGAGTTACCCGCAGCAATCTAATACCAGGAGTCAGTCAGATGCTGTATAGGAGGAACGGATGCCTGGGAGTGAGTTACAGATCTCAAAGAGTTGCAAGTTAATGTGTGTAATAAGGGATAACTCAAACCTGGGTACATCCATAGGATCTAGCAAAGAGATACAGATCACTCATACACTTAATAAATGGAGAACTGGAAATGTGTTACAAGACATTGATCTAATTGAGGGAGTTTAAGAGGGCTTACGTATGGATGGTAGATATTTGGGAGCAATTTAAATTCTATAAGATATTTGCTGTCTTGTGGCACAGTGGTGGTTTGTCCAGTTTGGACCAGAGTTCAAATCTCATTTCCAGACATGATGACCACTGATAAAGTATTCATGGTGCGATTCAGTTGGCTGACAATCAGATTTTCCTCACATTCCCAAAGGCAATAAGACACGTGATATGCTTAAAAAAAAATCAAGAAGACCACATCATCTCTCAAACTGTCAGAGGGAAGTAACTGGTAGGATTTAAATTCAAAAAAGTGTGGAATTAAAAGTCTAACGACGACCATGAATCTATTACTGCTCTTTGTGAGAACTCACCTCGTTCACTAATGTCCTTCACTGACTCTTAACTGCCCTATGAAATTTTTTTTATTTGTTCACGGGATGAGGGCGTCGCTGGCCAGGCCAGCATTTATTGCCCATCCCCAATTGCCCAGAGGGCAGTTAAGAGTCAACCACATTGCTGTGGGTCTGGAGTCACATGTAGGCCAGACCAGGTAAGGATGGCAGTTTCCTTCCCTAAAGGACATTAGTGAACCAGATGGGTTTTTCCAACAACTGACAATGGATTCACAGTCATCATTAGACTCTTAATTCTAGATATTCATTGAATTCAAATGCCTCCATCTGCCATGGTGGGATTCAAACCTGGGTCCCAAGAATGTTATCTGGGTCTCTGGATTAACAGTCCAGCGATGATACCATTAAGGCCATTGCCTCCCCTTGTAGTTATATCAATTGCTGGAAAGGGAAAAGCAAGCAATGAAACTAGATGTACCACTCGGTATCCATGCTGTCCCTAACAATGCTGTGGGTGTCCCTACATCAGACGGACTGCAGTGGTTCAAACAGGCAGCTCACCACCACCTTAAGGACAACTAGGGACGGCCAATAAATGCTGCCATGACCAGCAATGCCCACATCCCATGAAGGAATAATAAAAACAAACCCAACACAGTCTAAATTAACCCAACAATTATACTCAGTAGCAAATACAGCTGGCCCCCTGAACAAAGACAAGGTCCAACTGGATTAAACAGATTACTGCTGATGCGGTCTCAGTCACTCATGGCCCACAGACTCCATATCTACAGTAAGAAGTTAAGGCCACTTATTCCTGAAAAGGTTTGGGCAGGGAGCAGGTTCCCTGCATTTGTACTCAGTAGAAATTAGAATCCAGCCTAGAACAGCAGCTTGCTCCAGAGACTGGTATCTGATACCATCACAGACAGAAAGTGAGAACACAATGTCCATCAATTTGAACAGAAAGTGTAACAGTTGTGTTTTTTCCTTCTTCTATTCTTTCAAGGGGATGTAGGTGTTAATGCTGAGGTCAATGTTTGTTGTCCATCCCTACCTTGAAATGAGTAGTTTCCTTGACCATTTCAGAGGGTAGTTAAGAGTCAACCATTGGCTTGGAGCCATCAGGTAGGCCAGAGCAGGAGTCAATGGCAGATTTTCTTGTCCTAAAGGGTGCTAGTGACCCGGAGGGTTTTAATGACAAACCTTCATGACACCATCCCTGGGACCAGCTTTCAATTCCTAAATTATTTGTTGAATTTAAATTTCACCAGCTGCTGTGGGGTTTTAACCCATGTCCCCACAGTATTAGTGATATTAGCATAATGACACCACCTTCACCTCTTCTACAATCAGAGAATTGTTATAGCACAGGAGGCCATTTGATCCATCATATGCATGCTGCCTCTCCTAGGAAGCAATCCACATTCGACACTCCCCACATCCATGTACATTCACCCTTTTTTTAAGAGATACTGAATATTTAGAAAATAGAGAAAGATTTATGGCAGAGTGAGGCCACTTTGTGAGACCAATTTATGTTAAATTGTTGGTCAAAGATTTACAAAAATGCTACTGGACTTCAGGGTTTAAGGTATGAGGAGGCATGAGACTAAAGAGGCCTGCTTTCTCTAGAATTTAGAGGGTTAAGGTGTCATATGCTCAAATTCTTCAAGATATTAACATGAAAAGACACAATAGATAAAGAGAAACTATTTCCACCCGTTCTGAATTCTAGAACAAAGGGTCATAGTCTGAGAATTAGACCCAAGCCACTCAGGGGAGATGTTAGGAAGCACTTCTACACAGATAGGGTGGTAGGGGTTTGGAACTCTCTTCCACAAATGTCAGTAGGTTCTGGATTTTAAATCTAAGATAGATACATTTTTGTTAAGCAACGGCATTGAGGGATATGGGCCACAGATTTTTCATGATCTCACTGAATGGTGGTACAAGCTCGAGGCGCTGAATAAACTACTCAGAGCACAGAAACTGACCCTTCGGTCCAATCACTCCATGGAGACCACAATCCCAAGCTAAACTAGGCCCACCTTTCTGCGCTTGGTCCATATCCCTGCAAACATTCCTTATTTATGTACTTATCTAATTCCCATTCCTATGTTCCAAAATCTCTGTGACTACGTAACTGCAGACTTCTGTCGTGACTGACACAAGTTAATTCAGTACAAAGTGTCTTTGATATTAACTTGCATATTGACATGCCGTTGGTTCACTGAAATACATAAAATCAGTTCCCTCCCTGTCTTGTCTTCAACAAGATAAAACCAGCCCAGTCCATGCAAGTGACACCATCAAGTACTCAGCTAGCTAAGAGCAGTCTGCAGTAAATCACTTTAGCATACCTATGATGGGCCGAATTACCTCCCTCAGGGTTGCAAGAAAACGTGCCCCTCCTTCTTATTGACTTTTCCATTATTGGCAGGGTGCTTGTGAATGAAAACATGGGGAGGGATATTAGAAAATGCAATACCATGGTCTCAGTGAACATTGGAAAGGATAGAACTCCATAACAGCAGGGAAGTAACTTTGTTGTACACATTGTATGTCGCTCTGTCACTTACCCATTTTCTCGGTCTTCCTCTAGGCCGTTTCACTCTAGGTGGCTCTGCTTTCTGCAGATACAGACAATAGGCAATTAGACAATTCAATTAACAAGGGATTCAATTACTCAAGAATAGTTTGAACATTGCTGCATTTTGGTGTTTTGTTATGTCTCATAGTCAATATTTTAGATAATGATAAAAGACATGCTTACAATAACATCACTGCATTGTAGTTTGTAACCTGTAGTTATACAGATCTCATACTCCATCTTAACCTGTATCATGTGAACCATAATACTCTACTGGAAGCATGCTTGTCTGTTGCAACTCAACAGCTTAATATTCACCCAGATACTTATGTGCCTGAGGAATATAATACTTGTGCACAACAGTTAGTTGTGATAGCAGCCTGTTAAAGTATGCAGTGCCACAATATCCACATTCAGTTGCTTTTCTTACTGGATAACATAAATATTGCCACATCAGTTAATAACACCCTGTTGGTGACAAACCCACACTAATTGCTCCCAATCATTGAATCCTATGAGCTTACAACTGATGCCATTTTACTTGGCATCATTATCCAGCATTAACATCCATTGCAGGAATACCCAAGGACATATTTTCTGCCCCATCTGTGTTAATTGACCAAGTAGAGGGCTAGAGTGGTGCCCTGTGCAAATTATCAGCACATTGAGAGCAATTACTCCAAGCAGCAATTAGATCCTCAGGACAAGTCAGCAAGAAAGGGGGAGTGACACGAATTTTTAAAAAAGTTTGGGCCACTAAATACTGGCAATGCAAGAGTAAATGTTTGCAATATGCCTAATTCTGCACATTATGAACAGGCCACTATGCAATGTGCTGTACACCAGTTCTGAACCAGTGGGACAAATCTTCATTAAACCATAGTTTTGTATTCCTGTTCTTGAACAACACCCAGTGTTCCTCGATTTTAAAAAAAGAGCACATCCAGATATTTGGGTGAGGACAGGCTTGGGTTCCGTTGTGAAGGCCTTTTGGGCTGCTCGCACATACCTGGGTGAGGTACCAACCAACTGTGAAAAACTGCCCCAGTCATGGGTCAGTGCCTCCAGGAGAAAATGGAGGGCATCATAAAGTTCTGTTTCCTTTTCAAAGAACTAAATTAAAATGGGGGTCGACAAAAATTCTCTCTCCTGCAAAGGGACAGAAACCAGGTGCCAAATCTTTACAGGGACAACAAGGTGCAGGGCTGGATGAACACAGCAGGCCAAGCAGCATCATAGGAGCAGAGAGGCTGACGTTTCGGGCCTAGACCCTTCATCAGAAAAGGGGGAGGGGAAGGGGGTTTTGAAATAAATAGGGAGAGAGTGGGAGGCGGATAGAAGAGGGATAGAGGAGAGGATCAGTGGAGAGCGATAGGATCTTTACTCTGTTCTGAAGAAGAGTCGGATCAGACTCGAAGCTTTAACTCTGTTTCTGTCTCCCAGATGCAGCCAGATCCTCACTCCCAAGCCAGGTAACTCGAATTGGGAAGTTAGCTTGGAGCACTTACTGAAATAAGTCTTCAAAGGCCAGCATACCAGCACCAATCGCCCAACATTTACAAATGCATAGCCTTTGACAATAGCACTGCCTCCCACTGAGTCAGGCATTCAGGGGGCTCCATATCCCTCTCACTCCCCCTTTTATGTCAGCCAGGATTCCCTAATTAGACCAAATTAACAGCTCCAATCAAGGAACCTGTATTCTATTTTAAAAAAACCCAAAAGAACAGCGGACTGTCAATCAGGAACAAAAATAGAAGTTGCTAGAAAAGTTCAGCAGGTCTGGCAGCATCTTAAGAGTCGTAGAATTATAGTGTCATACAGCACAGAAACAGACCCTTTGGTCCAACCAGTCCATGCCAAACATAATCCCAAACTAAACTAGTCCCACCTGCCTGCAATTGGCCCATATCCTGCCAAATAGTACTTATTTATGTACTTCTCTAAATGTCTTTTAACCATTGTAACTGTACCACACCCATCGCTTTCTCTGGAAGTTCATTCTACACAGGAACCATTCTCTGTGTAAATCAAATTGCCCCTCATGTCTTTTTAAAATCTTTCACTTCTCACCTTCAAAATTTGCTCCCCTGTCTTGAAAGCCCCCACGCTATGGAAAAGACACCTGCCATTTGCCTTCTCTATGCCTCTCATGATTTTATAAACCTCTATAAAGGTCACCCCTCAACCTCCTACACTCCAGTGAAAATAGTCCCAGCCTATCCAGCCTCTCTTTATCACTCAAACTCTCCATTCCTGGCAACATCCTGGTAAATCTCTTCTGAACTCTCTCCAGTTTAATAATATCCTTCCAGTAACAGGGAGACCAAAACTGGACACAGCACTCCAGAGGAGGCCTCACCAATGTTCTGTACAACCCCAACATAATGTCTCAACTCCTATACTCAAAAGGTCTGAGCGATGAAGGCAAACATGCTAAACGCCTTAACCACCCTATCTCTATGTGATGCAAACTTCAAAGAATTGTCGTATTGACCAAAAACACATTAGACAAATTTCAAATTGAATTTCATGTTCTTTTTTTTTTAGTCCATATACTATGTTAGTTATTCTTTACTTAATAACGTGTAAGGCTGCACATTAAAAAAAGTGGTCTGAGGAAGGGTCACAGGACGTTAACTCTGATTTTCTCTTCACACTTGCTGCCAGCCCTGCTGAGCTTTTCCAACCCATATTCTATGATGTCTAGCTGACTGAGTTTGGTATAACCACTGCACATACCTTAGGAAAAGATCCTCCAAACTTCCCAATTTACACTCCAGGGATGGGTGTGGGTATGGGATAGATTTGCCCTTGGACAGAGATGAGAAGCAACCAAAGGAGCTACCAAGCACCAAGGACAGCTGTTGAGAAGATTCATCCCTGTTCTCTAGGGATTTTGTTCCATCTGTTATGTTAAATATTTGTCCCTCTATCCCGCACCCTCTCACACCCCATCAACTCCCCTACCCAATCCCCATGACCCATCCAAACCACTCATGCCTCACCCATCCCTCATACCCCTCCTGCTAACTGATGCCAGTGGGTTTCTCTGTAACCACTGCCCTTTTTCCTTAAACCTTCTGTGTTAACTCCCCCAGTGGTCCATTTGGGTAGACCTCAGGAACTATGTTAGATGAAATAAAGTTCTAAACATCTATTAAAAGCTTTTACCATAAATAACAAAACACACCCATTCATGAAAGCTCAATTTGAACTTCAGGAGTCACTCAGCTACTTATCACTTATTAAACCAAATAGATTTGCATTCATGATCCTACATTAAAGCTATCTAGTCCTTTAATAACCTCTTTGAGCTGTCAATCAAACTGTGAATTTGCAATCCCCGTTGCTGGGTTAGTTGTAGTTGTGAAAGGCAGCCAACTCTTTATTCACTAACAGGATGAGGGCATCACTAACTGGCAGCATTTATTGCCCATCCCTAATTGCCCAGAGGGCAGTTCAGAGTCAACCACATTGCTGTGGGCCTGGAGTCACATGTAGGCCCGATCAGGTAAGGATGGCAGTTTCCTTCCCTAAAGGACATTAGTGAACCAGATGGGTTTTTCCAACAATCGACAGTGGATTCATGGTCATCATTAGATTCTTAATTCCAGATATTTTATTGAATTCAAATTCCACCATCTGCCGTGGCAGGATTCGAACCCAGGTCCCCAGAATATTATCTGGGTCTCTGGATTAACAGTCCAGCAAGAATACCACTAGGCCATTGCCTCCCCTATATTACATTATACTATTAACGTAACTATTAAGGTTATAATGATAGGTGAAATCCCAGAGAACTATAGGGCTGTTTTCTGATTAGAGAGGGATGACTAGTGGTGGTTTAATCCAAGGGTCACTATGCCTCAGGCGAGGGGAGAGGTTGAGAAGATAGGACCTTCATGGTGACTTCAGTCAGCTGCAGGATAAGGTCAAGAATCACCTATTACAAATAATGAAACAGATCTATTTCGACTCTTACTGACACATGCAGGCTGGTTCCTAGCAATTTTTTTAAAGGGCAGGAGATTGAAATACCTCCACAGCTCCAGGTTTGTCAACTCTGACTGACATCGGCTGGCCCGATTTTAAAAAAAATTCAGAGGGTTGGGGAATTAAATAACTTGACGGCCTAACAATTCTCCATAATTTATTTGTCCTTCATGAGCATGTATGTCTTCTCCATGAATTGATCCTCCCCACATAGCGGTTAATGCTTTTCCTACAATGAAAACAGAGTCTTTGAACTGAGTTCAAATGGCTCTCTGCTGAGTTTGGATTTCTCTCCGGTGCCCGAGTCACATACCAGACACTTTCCTTGCTGATATATGTGGGATCAGAGGCAGATCAGACCAGACCTGACATTTGTATTGGTCCTTGAAATCTCAATGAGAATGCCGTCCCAACTTTTTTGATTTCAGATGCATTTGACTAAATTAAGTTATTTGATGCAACTGATTTTAAAATACCCACTGTGGTTGGATTTGAACTCTCATCTTTCAGATTATTTAAACAAGATGAGGATTAATAGCCCTATATCATAGTCACCATGCCTGCCATCTCATATTGTTATGCCACACCATCCCTTGTCCCAGGACATCAACTAAGGGTCCAGGGTCACTGATGATGAAAACATGTGCATTGGCTGTAAGTTGATTGAACACTGAAATCAGACAGTTTTAATTAAAAGTCTGCCTTGTTAAAGTCCATTTTTATTTTGGTCATCACTGTTGCCATGTTATTTAAACTGGTAAATTCAAATAACCACCCCATTCACTTAATGCAAATGAAAAGACTTTCAATTAATAGAAGCTGTCTGACAATGATGAAGGACAAGCTATTGAACTTAACACAGAATTATGTCACAAAACCCCTGTTTTACTCTGATTATTACATTACTGCGATTATTATTTTACCACAGGATCCTGTCCTAACTTATGAGGCGAGGTTAAGGAAATTGGGATCTTGCTTTCTTTAGAATCAGGGAGTCTTTGAGGTCTCCAAGTTGACTTTTTCAAGTTTGTGAGGTGGTTGGTAAAAGTTAATCCAGGCCAAATTGTTCACTGACGCAAATGGCTCAAATTTCAGGGGATCAGAGTAAATAAAAGCTTTGGAGAATGAAGAGAAGTCTGATCAACATTTTTTCCCCCTCACACACACACAAAGAGTAAAAGCGTTGATGCCATAATTTACAAGGCCCAGACCTTTGACGTGGGTCATATAAATCAATTCAACGTCCAATTAGATATGTCTCTGGAGTGGGAAGATGGATGGGTGGCTTGACTTCAATCAGGAAGAAACAAGAGTGTTAGCACTTTTTAACGTGTTAGCACTTCTGGGGCAATGTTTGGCACAAAGGGAGCATTCTCTGGGGCATTGTACTGTCAGAGGATCAGTGCTTATCCTCATTCTCCTGTTGAACTTGAGATTAGGGAATGAAGGAAGCTTTAAACACTCCAGGATTTAGTGATGGTTTGTGCTGACACTGTTAGGTTTGACTGGTGACTCTTCAGAATTGGTCCTGGTGTCACTAAGAATTGGCCACTGATGTTCAGAATACTGGTCAGCAAAACAAGGTTGGGGCGGGTTGGGAACATTGTGGGGAAATTAACATATATAGTTTCTTAGACAACAAGGTGCAGGGCTGGATGAACACAGCAGGCCAAGCAGCAT